ATCTTGGAAAGGAAATGTTTCCCGGGGGGGCTTTTTTTCCCCCCCTTTTTTTTGGGAGAATATTTGGGTTGGTCCAGGGGCCCCCCCCCCCCGGTGGGGGCATATTCTGGGGGGGATTCGAAGGGGAAACCCCCCGGAAAAATGGGGGTAAAAAACCCAACCGGGGCCCCCGCGTTTTTCTTTTTTTTTGGGCGGGCCCCCCAGGGGGGGGGGATGCCTCGGGCCTTGGGGGTTTCCCCCCCCGGAAAGTCTCCCTTTTGACGGGGTCCGAATATTTTGCTTTTTTTTTTTGGGGGGGGGGGGGGGTACTCATATTCATCCATCCCGTGGTCGTTAGCCCATTGCCCTCCCATCGGGGGGGGGGGGGGGGTATTTTCCTCGTATGGTGCCTGTGAGTCCGTCTATCTCTCGGCCGCCTTCGCGCGTGGGTCCACGCGAGTCGGTAAAATCCGAAGCTCCTCGATGAACCCTATCTTATCTTGGATGGCTGGTTCTGGGGTTTGAATGTGCAACAGCCACATGCACACCCTCCGGGCATCACTACCAACCAGGATTACAACACGTGAGGGAAGCAGCATCAACGTTGTAAACAGCAGAATGTTTGATCTAGTGTAAAAAATTTTCCACGTCTTTAGAAACCTCATCGAAAGATGCAAAACAAGCAGAATGAGACGAGCGGCAACGAGCTATTTTTCGCGAGACGTGCACGTCGCTGTTCACCTCTTGCATGCTGCTCTCATGATGGGCACTTTCACGTCTTCGGGGGTGAGGTCGGCCACCTGGTTCAGGATCTGCGAGCACCGTGCGTTTCGGGGCAAGTGGTGGCCGTGAGGCACAGTGAGACAAAGGAGGCCGCTGCGGTCTTGTTGTCTTATCGTTGTTGTTGTTGTTGTTGTTGTTGTTGTTGTTGTTGTTGTTGTTGTTGTTGTTGTTGTTGTTGTTGTTGTTGTTGTTGTTGCTGTTGTTGTTGTTGTTGCTGCTGCTGCTGCTGCTGCTGTTTTTGTTGTTGCTGTCTTGTCGTCGTCGTCGTCGTCGTCGTCGTCGTCGTTGTCGTCTTCACAGTGTTAGCAAGGGTCGGGTCTCTACTCAGCACCTTCTAGGATACCATCCAGCAGATGTTGTACGACAAATATACAAGAAACGACTTTCCGAACGGGGAAATCCTCCAGAAAACGCCGAGGAAGGGGAGGTTGCCGTTCGACCAGTACCGCCTCTAGGTGTGTGTTACGTCCAAGTCAAGCTAGAACCGGCGACATTGTGAAACCGTTCTGGAGAGTACGACAAAGGAACGAGGTATGTACCACGTAGTGTACTGCTGTAGAGGCATAGAAAAGATCGAAAGATCGTTGCATCCGGACACTTCTTCCGGCGGTCAAGATCAAGGAACGAGACAACGGCACCACCGCGAACAAGTTCCGCAGTTTTTTATCAACAGCGTTGACCTCGTCCCACCTTAACCGCCCTGACGTCGTCCCCGGCGTCCGCCAGCTCCTTGGCCTTGGCGTACAAACCCTCAGCGTTGCCAAGGCACCGCCTGCCAAACATCACCACCTCCGGGTGGTCGCTCTGAAGAGTCTTCGCGATGCCAAGGTCAATGTTTCCTGGGCCTACCTGGGGATCACAAAAAATTGTTATATGTACGCGGAAGTTGTGTCGGTGTCTGTCGGTGCCGGGATTGACCCTCCGCTCTTCTTGGCGTGTCTACGTTTTTTCGGGCTTGACGCGAGATAAGGGTTCGTCCTCCCCCCCCCCCCCCCCCAACCTCAATGCTCCGTCCTCTCGAGGACGCGTGGTCGATGGTCTAACAGCTAACGCATGCAAAACATGAGTATTCCCCCCGGCCGTCTTTCCTCAAACAATATCCTACGATTCTACCTGGCCTGTTCCAAACCTCCCTCCGTACTTTCTTGAGGATATTCATCGTCCTCCGCGCGCCCCGCTTAATCCTTGCTCCTAAGACAGGAAACATTTCTTGTCTCACCATTCCCACAGCCCATCGAATCTTGGCCCTCAAGACGTAGTCGTCGGCCGTGCCTTTCCTCCTCCCTAGAACGGCTTCCACGGATCGAAGCGCCTCGACGAACCTTCCAAGCTGAACGAACAAGCGCGCACCAATAGAACCAATAGAATATCAAAGTGTTGATTGACCCGCAGTTGTACAATTGGAAAAAGGTTGGCCGGGGGGGGGGGGGGGTTCTAGCTGGCGTACCGGCTCAGGCTGAGGTTGGGACTAAATTTAGCACCAAAGTCGTGATATAGGGTGCTGTTAGATAGCTGCTGGATAAGATAAACCCACCCACGCAAGCAAGGACCGATGGGGTACAGGTCATGTTACAAATCTGATCGCGCTTGGCAAGAACAAACCACAAGCACGTAATCAAAATTCACTCCCGCCACGAACATGGGAGGCGCCATCGAAGCATCGTCAAGGGTTAGAAAAGCTTTGTAACTCTTGACGATGCCAACCGTCTGTGGCTTCCGTGGCACAAACGTGACAACCCGCTTACTTGCGAGACGACGGCCGCAGAAATTCCAACCGACTTTAGCGGCGGGGCCAAATCACATCCTCTCAACTGCGCCGACGCACGGGCTGCAGAGAAAAGAGGGGCCCGTTTTCGCGTTCGACGAACATCTTTCTTCCAACCAAGCTGCGTTTAACGCCTAGCTGCGTTTAACGTCATGTGGTCCGCAACACGCTCCCACACAATCACATTCGTTTGTTTCCAGACTACACCAGGTTACATGCATTGTGACCATCGGAAGGTTGTTTGGTTCTCCCCAGCCACTCTCCTACCTCCCCCCTGGTAGCGTTCGAGACTGACCTTAACCAGAGCGACGGTTTTACAGAAGTGTACGGAGGCGTTGGCCCCATCCACCGTGCACGCCTCTTCGAAGCACGCCAAGGCGGCTTCGCTATCGCCACCGTCAAGCCACACCATGCCCTGCTCCCGACGTACCACACGAACGAGCACTCATCGACACCCATCATTACAGACAATCCGGCGATCGATGTTTCTTGACAATCTTTGGTTCGCGAGCATGTGCTGTGTCACCACACGAGTACGAGTTCAAAACATGGAAATGTCACGCTTCCCGACACCAACCGGTTGGGAGGCATTTGCCCTCCTGACTCTGATTGGAATCAAGCCTTTCATTTTCACGTGATCTATTTGCCCTTTATTGTACGAATTCTGCAGCACGTGTTTGAGGTTTCATTTTTTGCAAACGCTATGGCGGTCCGCTGCTGCGCTTATCGCACGCTGCTGATACCTCCGCTCGGCCAAAAATGCGTCAAGCAGACCGAAACGGCTGAGCTTCGAAACGTACATCTTCGACTTTCCAGAACCCAGCCCGATACAATGGAGTCGCTTCTCTTTTGTGTCTATCAGTGGTAATCCTAGAGATTATTCCAACAGCGGCAAGAGACTGCTGTGGCAAATGGTTGACCTTTCCTGGCAACAGTCCCCCCTGACCCGAAACGCCGTCCCGCCCGCACTACATGTTTACCCGTCCTGCTACCGCGCTCCGCTTGCCTGGCTCAAGAGGACCTCGGCCAGCCTCTGGCGTACGTTGAGCGCCGACTTGTCCATCCTGACTGCCAGCCTGAGACATCCGACGGCTGTGCGCAAGTCCTGCAAAACGTAGGCACGTAAGACGAATGGTGGCGTCCACAAGTGGAGCGGTGGGGTCGTTCTTGGTTGCTGCTGCTGCTACTTGACTTCTTTGGCTGTCGACCGCGAACATCCTTCCAACGGTGCCCCGATCCGATCCTCCCGTACAAGGGACCTGCGGTGTGCAGGTGCCTTGTTCTTATTCGATTAGCTGGAGAAATCGGGTGGTGTATAGAGGCGCTGCCTTGCTGCTCATGCACCGATGGAACGGATTGTGCGAGAGGAGGAAAAGTCCATCTGTATCGTCGCTATCGTGACAACCAAACGCAAACAGAGTGGACAAAAAAGTACAATTGTACCTGCGCCATCGTGACAACCAAATGCGAAGATGGAGGACAACAACGTACAGACGAGGCGGGATGTGCGGTGTTGCTGCCGTAGCTACCAGTGCCTCTCAGTTTACGGAGAATATCGTGTGGAACGCTCTATTGATCATAAACCACCGAGAATTAACGCCAATAGGGCGTAGCTCTGCCATCAACGATAAAGATATTGACCTCTTCATTGTATCGCGTATGTCACCACATTCTCTGTTCGAAGGTCGTGGACGGTGCTAAGATAAAACCTTGTCGTGGGACTTGACATGATGGTCCCCGTCACGAAATCCACACCCGCGCAGTGCGCGTACGCCGCCAAAACAGTCTTGCCTGGTTCACGAATGCCTCTGTGGACTTCGTTCGCTCGACATTTCGACGAAACCACCGCGTCCGTCAACAAGGTGTACCCCTCCACCCCCCTCCTCTCTTGGCAGGGTTTTTTCTCTTACCTGAAGCCTGCGGTGCACCTCGCCCCTCATGGCGTGCAGCCCCTTGTGGTTCGGACACACAAACAAGGCACGCTTGAGGGCACGAGATAGTCCCTCAAGCTCCTACAGAAACCGAAAGAGCGGACAAGGAATGGATGTTGGAAGCACGCACGAGGAGAATTACCCCTAAATTTGCGTGTCATAGCACTGTAGCTTACTTTCCAGCTTGTTTTCCGTGGTAGCGCTCGACATCTTGAGAGATACAGAAATGTGTTGAACACTTCAGCAAAGAACACATGTCATTAGAGGTTGATTAATCGGACGGTGGGTAACATTTCTCTCGTCTCAGGCCCGCATATGTATACCACGAGATAGAATAAGTTATAATTAAATTCATTTGACACCTCAGCGTCAGAAAAAGCCTCTTTCGTACTCTTCCATGCAATCTTGGCCTTGCTATTTTTCGTTATTTTTTGGCATAACTTCAAATCATCGCTGACGCCGTTCGTGCCGCTTGAAACATGTACTCTCACCCCCCTGGCCATGTTCACACTTCATACCTCTGTGGATAAGCTGTCGTGGCCGCCATCGCTACCGCCAGCGAGAGAATCTCTAGCGGCACCATCTGCTCTTGCCAGCGTCTCCCGCGTGTGCTGCAGCACCTCCTCGGCACGCTTGATGCTTTCCGGGAACGCTCCCGACATGTCTCCCGATAGAAGCCCGCTCCCTGTCTAATATAGCCAGAATTTCCGAAGGTAGGTAGCATGAGAAACTTCCCTCTACTTTGAAGCAGCGGATTCGCCGGTAGTCCTTTGACTTCGGCAGTAAGCGAACGTTGCCAGCGCAAGTCTAGAAGACGGCAGGTGTGGTTTACCGCCTGGCTCTACACACGGCATAAAAACTCTGTTGCCGGGTTGTCACACGTTTATGGCACGTGTTCGTACTGTAAGTTGAGCGATCTCGTCCCAAGTAGACCTGAAGGAATGCCACGAGACCTGACGTACAGTGTTCCCCTCTGGGCTCGTCGTCGTACCAGCTACATTTAGCATGCTTGAACATGCTCAAGACTTTATCACGATTGACGCTTCCGCGTACGAGGACTCGACAAAGGAGGTGCTAAGTCGGGTAACACAATATATCGTACGTCTTCGGTACCATATTTTTGTCTCAACGAGCGTGCGTTTTCCAAAAGAAAGTTGAACTCCGACGAAGTGCCGTCCGAGAGTTCATGGCGGTGAAACCCTTTCTGTCCAACGCCCTTCCTTTGTCCCCAAGAGATTTTTTCTCACCAAAGCCTTTCGCGCCTCCGCCTCCGCCTTCTCCGGATCAAAGTTGCCGATCGATTCCGCCAGAGACGGAGCTCGAGATACCGAGGTCGAGCCGCTGTCGAGAGACCGGCTCTCGAGAGACGTGGTGTCAACCGACCGCAACGTGCTCGTCTGCCTGGGACCGGTTTGTCGAGAGGCTGCTGACCCCGCCGGCGGGGAGGGATTTTTGTGCCCGAGGGACACCGTGACGTTGAAGGAAGACATGGCATCGTAGCACATGCCCGAAGAAGCCGCATCGTTGCCTTCGTCGTCGCTGCCACCGCCAGGTTGCACTGGTTGGCCCCGGGGCCTCAGCATTTCCTTTCTACTCCGTTTTCGATCCTGGTGCCAAGGTTCGGAAGCGTCGTCCATGCACGGTGTTCGAATCGCACGTTAGAGACAGCGAGCGGTGGCACGCGTGTGTCGCAGAACGAGCATCTATCTCTCGTTGTCTGCTGTTGCAGGCCAGCTCCAATCTCGTCTAACTCTCCGATTGTTTGCCCGCGCGAAAATTTGTCTGTTCAGTTTCTTTCGCCCTTCAACTACACGAGCTTGTCTCGCTCTCACATCAGACTGGACAGCCGCAAACACAAGGACAAGCTAGGCTTTGCCTCGTGTGATTGCTGGGGCAGTGCCAAGATGGAGCAATATTGTTCTCCGGTAAGGAAGTATTGTTTGGGCTGTTGAACTCGAATGAAATAGTACCACGAATTCAGTGTACGTACTGTCGAACCCGAGACAGCTGCCAAACCGTCCCGTTTTTTTGTCCTGAGGTTGCCTCTGCGGTCCTCGCGTGAGCGAATCTCTGATGGACTCTTCGTTTAGACTAACACAATCTGGCTGACTGTTGTAAATTCCCACGAAAGGATTCGGGAATGATCGCATTTGCTTAACTTTTAGGAAAATGTGATGCCAACCGAATTGAAAAAAATGGTTCGTTGGAGAAACAGTCTGAATTTTCACATGTAGTATATAACACAGAAAACTAGGTATGTAGCAGGCCCCTCGATATGTAGGACCTTGACATTTGTAGCCCATGGTGTTGTGTGTGCTGACAGAATATTGCTATGCATGCGTCATGGACAACTTTCTGGGGATATATTTACTTGGAGCTAACCTACAGCCAACTACTGTACTGTACCACAAATCAAAACGAAAGAGAGTCTCACCAGGCTGGATCAGCAGCAGCAACAGTCTACGTGCTGTTAGATTGAGTGGGAGTATCATATAGCCAAACGTAAATTTCCGAATTGTGGAAAGGTGCACTTCCATTCGGCCGCCCATGTAGATAGCGGTGGGCGATTGTTGCTGTAGTGTCTTTTATTGGCGAATGACTAGTTGGGATGGCCTTTCTACCTTGTCGGCACAATAACCATCCCGTAATCGTGCGTCATGTAGCTGAGATACATCATGCGCTCAGGTCAACGGTCTCACCGCCTTGCCGCTCTGCTCTTCCGTGCGCACCAGGATGTGCCGTTAACGCCCAACGTCATAAAGACAGAAGGACCTATCATATGCCCAGAAGAGGCACAGCACCCACCAGTAGCCAGGATTGTGGTGAAGCTGTGGCTGCCCAGCTTGCTGCCCAGGCGGGCGATGACACGAAAACGATGCAGTTTCGCCGCACAAAATCTCGCCGCATGAAACTGTCGTTCTGACTGCTGACAGTGCCGCGCTGACCGTGAGGGGGAAGCGGGGCTGATATGCACTGCTGCAGCGGAGCAGCAGGCCAGGATCAAAGGATTATCCCCTTTGCACAGTTAGCAAAGCAATCACCAAACCACCCAGGAATTAGCTACACTTACGTGTGATCGTGCGTAAGTGCGACCGTAGATAGATGTGATAGTTGCCTTGGGCATACAGATAATCACATGCAGTTGTAATGTACGGCTATCCCGTGTCGACACACAGTGCCGACCGAGACGACAAAACCGTGCCCGTGTGCTCCAAGAAGGTGTAGAGCACCAAAAAGATCTGCGAGGGCGCCTTCCCACGAGGACAACATCTTGAGACACGCCGCGGGCGGCCGGGGGGTTGAAGAGAAAGATCGATATTTCGTACTTGAGAAGTAGCAACCCCAACACTGCGAAAGCTAAAACTTCCACAACGTAATCAGCATCGGGTCAACATGACTCACTGTCCGAATTTGTCGAGTCTTGGCAGGTATGGGGGTGTACGGCAGGCTAAATAGGCGAACATGATCAGCACGGTGCCGATTGCCACACGGCAAATAAATATCGTCGACTTCCACGTATCGTTGTGCCTCCTCCTCATTCTCGCGAAAAACACAAGAAACCGGCTTTTGACTTCTGACGCAAGGGAGGGAATAAAAGCGTCTATATTGAGTGTCAATGGTGACGTCAAGTTGTCCGATCTCCCCATTTCGAGCTGCCCACTCGCTCAAGTGGACTGCCTCAATTAAGAGGCTACGATCACTTTCATCCACGGCTGATCAGCACATTGTCAACCTTTCGATTTCAGACCCGCGGGCTACGCCTCACTACAAGCAGTACGCAAAACTGCAGCATGGCAAGGTAGGCATGCACCTTCGACAGCTCGCCGAACGTCCGTGCACAGCAGCCTCTTGACTGTTGCGAAACCGACTCAACCATGAAGAAAAAAAAGCCATGTAGCCATTGATTTCAGCACGCCAAACCGCCAAACTACGCGACCGTAGGAAATGCGGAGGAACGAAAAACATGGCCCAGGTACAGGATGAACTACAAACAAACTCGGAGCTCCAATCCAGAAAACTTTGTGCTCCCGCGCCCCCGAACCTGCAAAAGCATCAGCACTGCATGCGCCACCACGTTGATGTGACGAACACCAACAACAAAAAATGCCAAAAGGGCTGTAGCCAACGAGAACACAACAGTATTACCAAACAACCAAGACTTTGCTGACACCAGAACACGACAAACGTTTACGGCTCGTCTGCCTGTGTTTTGCCTCCATCATCGCTCCCCGACCTCCATATACATGTGCCTCAAAACATGTGGGAGGCATCCAGGTATGACGTGCAAGCCAATGCCGTCTTGAGAAGTATAGATGCCTCTTAGCTGATTCCAATATCGTCTTACAAGTCCAGATATACTGTCCAAAACGATCCCAATGTCTCAGCAAGTCTAGATGCCGTCTCAGTAGATGCCAATATCGTCTGAGATATACTGCTTTCCAAGTATATATCGATCTCAATGTCGTCATAGATGTCTTCGTAGAGCCCAATATCGTCTTAGATACACTGTCGAAGTCGATCCCAACGTGGTCTTAGATTTCGTCGAAGTCGATCCCGATGTCGTCTTCGGCGCCGTCTCCTTCCATGGCCAAGTCCACCGCCGTCTCGTTGATTCGCGCGTGCTCCGGGAGCTCTCCGTACTGCTTCAAGTTACGCGCCTCGTCGGCGTTGTACCGGTGGATGATGTCCACCTGATTCCATCGATAGATATCGAATTTGAAATCACATCCGAGCCGTGATCACGCCGCCAACCACCATCGATCGCCCAGTGTATGGGTTTTTGCCGTTCGTTGGGACCCCGCGTGTGCGGTAAATACGGCGGCAGGGGGGGGGGTGCCGTTCGTTGGGACCCAGCGTGTGGGGTACATCCGGCGGCAGAAGGGGGGGGGGGGGGGGGGGCCCCCGGGGGTGACAAAACCCGGGGCCAATGAAACGGGGAAGGCAAGGGGAAAAAGGGGGGGGGGGAATTCAAAAAAGGGGGCCGACCCAACGGAAACCCCTGCCCCCCAAAAAAACTTAAAAAAACCCCCAAAAAAAACCCCAAAGGGAACTTTAGCCCTTCTGGAAGCCCAAAACCCAAACCCCAAAGCCCCTTTTTTTCGGATAAAAGCCGGGGGGGCCCCGGGGGGGGCCCCGGCCCTTTGTGCCCAATCCCGCCCCTTGTAATAACATACTTCCCTCCTTTTTACATCCGGGGGGGCCAAAAATCCGCCCGAAAAACTTTTTTCCCCCCCCCCAAAATTGGGATAAAAAAAAACAAAAAAAAAAAAAAAACAACGTCTCCGAAACCCCCCCCATATTAACATATGCCCCCCCCTTTTT